ACAATGTAAAGCTGTCAATAAACCAGTGATTGCAGAGTGTTCAGAGACGTTGCACGCGTTTCGAATTATTACGTATTTTCAATATTGGACATGGACGAGGACGATAGGGATCTAATTTTAGCAGCTTGTGCAGTTATTATAGGTAGACTCCTTAAAATGCGAAATTGTTGGGTCAGGCCAAGCTGAGTCGTAGTTGTTATAGTACTAGTGAAAGATTAAGTGATTTTAAAAAATACGACATGGTTTTAGGTGCAGAGACCCGTTTCTTTTAAAACATTTGTCATTAACCTTTTGAACGCCAGAGCAAAAACACATGAACCTGCCCTCAACGCCAAGCCACAAATTCCGCGCAAATTTCTACGGAAGAAATAGGCATTCCAATAGGGAATCAAATTGTTGATTTCGTGTTTCCGGTTCCGCTTTTTCTGTCATGTATTTGTGTCGTTGGCGTCCAGGGACAGTTTTCACTTGTCACTTATATGTGACATCGGCGCTCAAAAGGTCAGTTCCCAATTTGAATATTTACTGAATATTGTTGGACACAGAAAAACAAGACACTAATTACAGAAAAGCTCGATAGTCGGCGGGCAACTGAGCAGGGGGCGTTGGGCGTGCCGCGCGCGCGCGTATACCGCCGGGACGGTGCGCGGCGGCTTTGGTAGTTTCAAAAACAGGCCGCTGGCCTTGCCGGTCAGGTTCGTGTCACCGGGCTTTGGTGTGTAGCCAGCTTAACACCAATATTCAGTCAAGGAGAAAGAAAATAACCTTGAGGACAACATATTTAGTAGTCTGGAGCTGACCCAGTTGACAGCGCCCGCCCAACTCAATCATATTGTAGGGTATCGAGTGATCCAGCACATGAAGTTGACATTCGGTGCGTGTCTGTTCTAATGTAAATAAATGATTTTGACTTAGATTTTGACCACTGCACGCGCCCCCGCCAATGAGATTTGAGTGAGCATGACAACTCCAAGCTGACACACAAATGCATTCTACATAGAAGTTATGAAAAGTAGGCAGGGAATGTTTTTGATTCACATATAACGCTTGTAGTACAATTAAGTATTTACCCTTGATTTATGCTTCTGGAATATTTAGATGGAAACTCGATTCTACCCAAAGGTGGTACAATTCTTTGATGGACAGAGACGCAAATAAAAGCTTATTAACTTGTTACGCAGTTTCAGAACTGAGAAAATGCACATAACTTTTTTAAGGCAAGATAAAGGTAAGATAACTTTATCAACTATTTGAAATTCAAAAGTGTATATTTCTATACATAAACATAAAAGGAATCAACTAAAATTGCGGGTTACTCACGTGAATATACTGAGAAAAGCTCTACTAGTTTCGAACTACAGAGGGGTTCTTCCTCATGAGCAGACTGCGCGGCGACGTCGCGCAACTCACTTATTATAAAAACATAAAAGGAATCATTTAAAATGAAAAGCAGGCTATGTTACAATGATTTATTTTACAAATACAATAATTAGCTGGACAACAGTTCTCATTTTAGTAGGTTACGGCGATAGAACGCCACAAGTTAAAGCTCTTCTTACATATTGCACCGGCACTGTGTCACCATACGTGGGAAACTACATGGTAGGCCCAAAAACCCTTAGGAGGCCATATTTGGGGAAATTACCATTATTTATATACCAAGCAAGTTATTTTTACTCAATATTACCATAGATATTGATTTATTTACATCATTGCTTTTTTGGTCTGGTATGGCAACACATTAAAAACTCATTTCAGAAATCGAATCCTACAAGTCTTTCGGTTTAGTGTTGCTAGGTTACAAACTAGATTTTACCACCAAACCTAAAAATACAATTTATGATATTTATTTGTAAACCATTGCACTGAAATTAAATATAAACTGAACCAGTGGTAAATTAATGTAGGCATACTCGAAGTATAAATAATTACATACCGTATGAGTTCACAACACAACAAAATACTGTTACTGACTGTACAATATTTAAAGCAGTTGCTAAAATAAATAAACGTTGACAATATGAAATTATAACATTACTTAATTAACCATTCTCAAAAAGTCGGGTAAATTTACTGGAGAATATTAGCCAGTAATTTCAAAATATTCCTTTACAAAGCTGTTAAAAGAATGATTGTAAAACATCTACTGATACTTTATAAGCTAACTTGATATAAAATCATTGTAAATATGTATATCAAAATCAGTTGTGCACCAACAAATATACATGCTTAGCAAAAAATGTGTAAAAACCAATACTACGATATAAAAATATATATCTCTTTTTAAAATTAACTTACAAAATGGTAGCTTTCTGGATAGCGGTAAGACTGGCAATACTCATACATTTAATATTTAAAAATATTCACATTCGCCTAATGTAAAGATGGCGGTAAGTTGTTATATTGTCTCTGGCACACTTTAATACGATGACAGCACTATAAACCATAGCCAGTAGTTACCGGTAACCAGAGAGCTCATGATATACACTTCCAAACTGCTTGTATCAATCGAATGTATCATTTAAATAAAATTATAAATGTTATGATATCCGAAAGGGCATTAGGCCAAGTTAACATGATTTATTAACTGTAGGTCAACGACATTCTAATATAATATAGTAACTTAAATTAGGTACAGTTGCCAGCAAATCAACCTAATCCAAAATGTGAAATTAGACTTTATATCAATGCAATAAAGTTGAATATGTAATAGAGATATTTGACACAAAAGGATAATTTGATCTGCTGGTCACTACACATAAGTTAGTAAGACTAATATTCGTTCCTTTTTATCTACCCTTTCGTAGGTAAAAGGTGTAGTTATAATATGTTATTTATTATTCTTATTTTTCATTTAAATGACACATTAAATTCGAACAACTAACGCTAACCTAAAATTAATTATTGAACGACAAAATAAAGTAACAAAAATATTTATACACATTAGTATTTGGTTTCTAGGCGTCCATATATTATATAAATACGATACGTACAAATATTTTATATTATTTTACGCAACTTTGTTTATTAAAGTGTTATTTATTATTCTTACAGTCAATTTTATTTTTAATGCCATTTTACTTGTGTAATTCATTGACCATGTAATGTATATCTTTTGATAATTTCTATTAAATAAAAAGAATAATGGACGCAGTTCTGGTTGCTTAAAAACAGTTGCATAACAAAAAAACTATAGCAGTTTATCCTTAAAAAAACTAAAGTTATTGGATCGAGTTGGAATTAACTGACTCATAAAAAAGTAAAAAGAAAAAATAACTGTGATAAAGAGCGAGACGCGTCCACATTAAAAAAAAAACAACAGTAATGAATGTCTAACAGAAAAATAGACTTATTAAGACTATTCTGGCGCCGCCTTTAAAAGAAAAAAAAAACAATTTTTCAGGATTACATCCCACGAAATTATTGTGCTAAATGACGACTAAGAATAAAGCTATAAAAGCACCGTTTTACTAGTAAAATGTGCTTTATGTACACTGTATGATGGTCTATTATATTAATTTGTATTTCAAAAATCGTTTCTATGTATGTAATTACATATTAGCTACCAATATTTATATGTACAGGCGCTGCACAAACATAGACAATTTTTGTTCCCAACTTTGTTGTCGACACCGAACACATACTATGTGTTAAGTGGACGCAACTGGACACATGTATGTGAAAGGAGTGGATGATTTCATACTGGTTCTACATACATAACATCATACCTTTTATCCCCGAAAGGGTAGACAGAGGTGCGCGTTATGGCACTTAATGCAACTGTACAAAATAACATCCACTTTTCACTATTTAATATTTATGTTATGAGTCCCATGTAATAGGGGGCGAGCTTATGCCATGCTACTACTGAATTGTTTTTTAAAAACCCAGTAATACTTTGGGGAACCGAACCCGAGACCCCGTGCCCAGCAGTCGCACTTGCGACCACTCGACCAACGAGGCAGTCTGGGACTATAAAATTCAAATATTTATTGGTCCGATACCAGATTTAAAGTCTACGTTTGCGCCCCGCCTTAATGTATGTACTATCATCAAGTATTGAACCTTGTACTGATATTAAGGTGTAAATTTTAAATATATGACTACTAGTAAACACCAAAATTTTTCGCATTATTTTTGACACAGAATACCTCAAGTATGGCACTGAGAGTGTTAGTACCAAAGTGATGGGAAAGCAATATTCTTACAGGTTACACTAACTTCTATTTATGATAATGTTGAAGTTTCAACTATTTATTTAAACATTTTCTTGAAAAACTCGCTTCTAAAAATATCTTTAAAGCTATGAATATTGAATACAATAACTTTATTCCTAACACTTGCTGTATGACTATAAATTAATAATCCTAACATGTATTATTGCATATAATCTGTGTACACAATGTCCCTGTTTAAATATTAAATTTTTGTACCTAATTCCAGCCAGTCTAGCTTTACTTCAAGCCAAAAAATCAACACTACCATAAATATTGTAAACAGAAGTGTATCACATTTATTCTTAATCAAATAAAAAAAAACAGGCGAATTGCATTACATGTGCTTTTCATCAAGAACAAAGCAAATTATGCTTAAAAGCTAAAGAGTAAAAAGTAATAAATATAAAAAAATAATAAGACGGTATATTCACTTTAAAACTAATGAAGTAGATAAAGATGGAGATGTATTGTATAAATATTTTAAATATAAATTATATTACAACCCGAATAATTTCATCAAAAATGTACAAACTATCTATTCCTTCACTGACTTCTTTAGCTTATGACTGAGCTAAATCACATTTCTAAATTAAAGCTATTCCAAATAGTGGATTGTTTGGTAATCGACTAACACTCCATAGATAGTCAGTACATCTCTAGAATAAAAAAATAAATAATCAACATCTTTGTAAAAACGAAAAAAAAAAAAAATCTGTCATCGGAACGGCGCGAACTTCGAATGTAGAACGTTTAGAACAAATCTCACCATAGATATAATTAGTGTTACAGGATGGTGCATTTTTTCTTTTTGCCGCTTCCGTAGTCTGACTTGATGTTGATGCGTTCAGCCTCCTGGAAGCGACGCACTAATCTGACCAGTTCGTGGAACGCTTGGTCGACGTTCATGCGCGCTTTCGCACTGCACTCAATGTATGGAACTTTGAGTTGACGCGACAAGGCTTGTGCCTCTTCCAGTGACACCTGTAAAAAATTGTATCATTTAATTACGTAGGTATGGTAAACGTTATGTTTTGATTTTGAATGTATCAAAAATAGATTATTATTGCGCGGTTTCATCTCAATTTTCCTCGTGATAATTAAATAACAATAATACATATATAATTAAACATGGCAGCCGTAAAAACAATTGTTAATTTACCTATATCGTATTTATGACGATCAAATTATAATTTTAATTAGAGACAAAAGACAAATTAAACTTGACTGTTTACTGAGATATTAACAGATAAGACTAATATTTAATACATAGGTTCTCGGGAGTCCACAGGTAGGTGGCACCCATAAAATTATCATCGATGAGTCTGCTCGTTTAGCGCTCTATCACATAAAACAACTAAGTGTGGGAGAGCCATGCTTCGGCACGATTGGGCCGGCTCGATCGGAGTGATACCACGGCTACACCGAAAACCGACGTGAAACAACCCTTGCGGTGTGTTTCGTGTAAGTGAGGTTACCGGAGGCCCGATTACCCCCTCTCCGTCCTCCCTGAATCCCCAACAATCCTCAATTTCGTAATCTCCCAAAGGCGGGTAACACACTTGTAACGCCTCTGGTGTTCCAGGTGTCCATGGGCGACGCCAATTGCTTACCATCAGGTGATCCGTCTGCTCGTTTAGTGGCTTATCGTATATTATATTTTCTAAATTTTCCACACCTGAATCACGACTATTATTTTCATGAATGGTTTTACGTGTGCGATAACGTTGTTTACTACGTCTACTATATAAGGTAGTACATAAACAATAACAATCGTCATTCATAAAACCCGAAGCAGGGAAAACATTGCGGTTTTAGTATTCCCTATGACTAAAACTAAAGTATTTATAAATTTCAACCTTAGAATCTAGGACATATAGATTGTTTTGCAACAATTAGTCATATTAGAAGACGAGATGTGTTTCATTTTGTAGTGTACTGTAATATGACTGGTTTAGGACAAGTCTTCATTGTCTAGTTAGCAGTACTCTATGACGTCATTCATTTATTACTGTTTTACTATATAAAGGTTTTTAATGATACTTTAACATGAATGACGAAAGTATGCTACATGCGTCAAATGGTTGTAAGGCTAGATATTTCTTGATAAGTTTGGGTAAAAATGAGACCACTGTATTATTGGTAAAACATAGTTTTTTATACTTCACGGGCTATTACTGACTTTGTCCTTTATTCATTATTATAACTAATTGTATTTGGCCTTTACATGTCATCATAACCATCAACTAAAATTAACTTCTACTCACCACTCTTTGGTGTTCCAAATCAGCTTTGTTTCCGACCAGAAGCATGGGGAACTCATCCCGATCTTTGACGCGGAGGATCTGCTTGTGGAATTTGTAAAGCTCGTCGAAGCTAGCGTGGTCAGCCACTGAGAAGACTAGGAGGAAACCCTCACCGGACCTCATGTACTGCTCTCTCATCGCACTGAACTCCTCCTGGCCGGCTGTGTCGAGAACTGTGGAGGGAATATAGAGGTATTAAACTGAGGTGACAAGTAAACTTCTTAAGGGCCGAAACACATAACCGCGTTGCGTCGCCGCAACGCTAAAATCGGCAGTTTGCGTTGCGGCGTCGTGCAAAAGAGCGTTTTGTTGTCTTTCGGTAGGGTAACCAGTTCGTCGTGATTTTTTATTGTGGATAGACGTGTTTATGTCTTGGACTATTTTAGGTGATCATCGTCATTATTTGCTGAACAGTTCGCCACGTCGAAAATGACCCTTAACTTTTATCAAATATCGAAGTGTAATCGCCATCTCTTGATTGCGAGTTAACGTTGGGCACAGGCGAAACTGGTAAAAATAAATTAAACATTCAATAATTATACCTCTATCTTTCCATTGCGGCAGTAATAAACCGTGATGGTACAATAGATAGATTTGAATTTTTTTTATGGCATAAGTCGGTAAACGAGCAGACGGATCACCTGTTGGTAAGCAATCGGCATCGCCCATGGACACCTGGAATACCAAGGCGTTACAAGTGCGTTACCGGCCTTTTGGGGATTAGGAGTTTGAGGATCGTTGGGGATTTAGGGGTTGGGGAGATTGGGGAAGGGAAGGGTAATTGGGCCTCCGGTAACCTCACTCACACGACGACACACAACGCAAGCGTTGCTTCATGTCGGTTTTCTGTGAGGCCGTGGTATCACTCCGTTCGAGCCGGCCCATTCGTGCCGAAGCATGGCTCTCCCACACTTTCCCAAATTTTCACTTACAGTATAAAATGTTTTATTTTTACTCATGAAATATTCTCATACATCAACTAAGTGACCTTGCTATATACATACATACATGTATTCGCCTAGATAGGAAAAATTATCTAATTAATTACATAATGGGTTGGAAATGGCTTTTGCTATATATACACCTGTATAACAATGTCAGTTGACTTACATACATCTATCTATAATAATAATAAAATCGTAGGAAAGTCAAAACTGTACCTACATTAAATATGTTTTTTAAAAATAGTAGTAGTAGTTTTTAGAATTTTTGTCTGTTTATCTGTGTGTATGTCCGGGGTAAACTCAAAAAGTACTGCATGGATTTACTTCAAATTTTACATGAATATTACTTACAGGCCGAGTCAATATAATTATAGGCTACAATACTATCACCTAAAGGGGAGGGGCTATGAAGAACTATACAATGTTACTATTCCACACGGACGAAGTAGCGGGTTCAGCTAGTGTTTCATAATATAATACACAAATTATGAAGTATTGATTAACGGACTTGTGTTGTCAGCCTGGTCATCAATCACTGGGTAATTGATTGATTACATAAAAACTTCGAAATTATATACACAAAACAAAAGAAATTTTGTTCTAGTTATATAAATAACAAGCTACTTCCGCGCGGTTTCACTCGCTCTGCTCGGCGCCTATTTATCGTAGCGTGATATTTTATAGCCTATAGGCTTCCTCGATAAATGGGCTATCCAACACGGAAAGAATTTTTCAAATCGGACCAGTAGTTTCGGAGATTAGCGCGTTCAAACAAACAAACAAAAAAACAAACTCTTCAGCTTTATAATATTAGTAATTAGTATACTAATTACTACATCTATAGATGTAACACAAAACCATTCATTTAACAATTAACATTGTGTCTGAAATTTACTATTGATACAAAACAAGAAACAGGCTTCTTAGCAAAAGGGGTGTTCCAAACTATGAGTTGCAATTTATTTGCGGGTTGTTTTTAGTGGGCCTCGACAAGGCCTGTGCAAGGGCCCAGCAAGTAGAATGAAGCACTAACCAGCTGTTTGTACAACCTAAGTTTGGGAATTTAGATAGGTTGTAGTCTAAACAACTGTGGGATCCACTTCTGTATAGTTTGTTCAATACTAACATCAACAAGGAATCTGATAATTATGTAACTTATGACAATTAATATAATAATATCATTCATCAAACCATTAACATTCACAAACAAAATAAATGTAGAACAAAATTAATTACAAACCAGTTTTAAAATATAGATACTAGAACTACAAATTCTTTTAGTGATAGCATTATTTTTAAGCAATCAAAGATCTCTTCATATCTATAAACCAATTACAAAACCTGATAATAATCTATTTTTAGGATACAAAATCTATCTAACAAGCTACATTATTATAATTTAATGAGTCTGTAAAAGCAATATAGTACTTTCTAAGCTTGGTAACTAGGACAAGGTGAAACCTGTATAATTCCTAGTATAGATCATGCATGAATGCATCTCATACAAATATCATAGTAGTAGAAACACAAGAAAACATCAAGGTTTTATCAGAGACAATATATCTTGTGATAAAAGTTTCTGATACCAGAGATAATAATTACGTACAAACATCATGTTTACAAGTTATACTGAATTTAGATGTTACCATGTGCATTGTTGTGTAAATGATAAAAATAATTATTTTTTTAAATAGAATATGTTGAGATGGGATCTAATGTTATTGGAAGATGACTTTTCTTATTAAAGATTCGAATTTTAGACTACATTCAGTGAGTGCTCTGTACCAATTTATTTAGAGGACCAATTTGTGTGGTTTGCTATGAATTGAATAACACAGTACTCAGCATAGAGTATGTTTCTCTATTTTAAAGTAGAGGTGATTCATAACAGCACCCCTACTGCATCATGTTTAAATCCGGGAATGAAGTATGTTTTTCTTTAAATTTAGATTGCAGTTCTAAGAAAATTGTTCATCTGCAACAGGTAGCTATGACTAACCAATAACATCGAATACAAGGTGTTACAGCAAGGCCTTCACAAATATTTACGACGCACCATAACAGTTTACTTGACCACCCACTATATTGAACACCAGGAGATCATAAACATGAAGAGCAGTACTCACTGTCCAGTTTCGCCGGCACATCGTCGATGACACACTGCTTGGTGTAACTGTCCTCGATGGTGGGGTCATAGTCTGTCACGAAGTAGCTCTGGAACATCAAACAATACCAATACAGCACCAGATGCGGTGACGCCAGTGGGCGGTGTCGCCTTCAAACAGGCCTTGACATAGACTGTCTCACAAACACTATTTTTAATCATGAACGCATCATTTAGATTACTTAAGAATCCGACGATTTCTCAGAAATAAGAATAGAAACTCTTATATATTGAAACATCTGTTCCGCACACGGATCTCGGCCAAATATGCCGATAAATACCTGAATAAATTGTATTGTGATTGCACTTTTTCCCACACCGCCGCCGCCGACGACCACAAGTTTGTATGTTTGGGCTTGGTTCGGCCTATCACCCGGTCGAGACATTTTGATTTCACTTTATATCAACTATTTGAAATGATAATTGCTATAAAAATAGTCTAATTTCTTTAATTTATGACAATCAGCAGCACTCACTCACTACTAGAAGATGACTCAAATATTTCTGAGATAGAAAAGCGGAACGCAACAAGTGGGAAAGAGATAAAATCGAAGGACTACGTTCCGTTGCAACATATTTTGGTCTTACAATATATTACTGTAACCGTGTTATACGGATACTAAAGATTTTAACGAAGTTTCGATGTATTTATTAACTATGTTTATCAAATTAGATTGTAATAAATGTGAAATTTCTCGAAAGCAAATGCATTAATTTACTCTTCACACAATAATTGAGATCGTTTTGCGTAAAATGAATTGTCTAATCAGATGATGCAAAGTTGCCATTTTAAAGACAAAACAACTAATAATCCCTGTTACTGTTCATAAACTGTAGAACTTTGATAAATACATTTTGCTTCTTTATTTTCTTTTCTTCAAGCTGAGGAATTATCCATGCATTTTATCAATGTTCTTATTTGTTTAACAATTATAGAATCAGATATTTTTTCATATAGCAAGCTACATTGACATGTTTTGACAAAAAAGAAATAAAATGTCAAATCAAACTTAAATCTTTGGGGCCGTTTGGGGAGTTTTGTTGTTGTGGTGATTTGTACTTAATTTTAAGCCTCAAGAATTAGTAAAACTACTAAAATGTTTTCAACGAGCTCCCAAAGGAAGTTTTGGACATTCAGCGACGAAGGTGAATTAGCAATTTTGCGTGAGAAGCATAACCTTAACTATATTGCAAAACATGGAACTCATATTGATGAATATCAAAGGTACAATTTCTTTTTATCTCCTGACGAAGAAAGACTGCTTTTAAAACAATATGAATTACACCTAAAAGAGTTTTGCAAGCGCTTCAGCCCGCCAATGCCGAAGGGAGTCGTTGGCACGGCATTTCATTACTTTAAACGCTTTTATCTCTACAATTCCACGATGGACTATCATCCCAAAGAAATTCTCGCGACATGTGTATATTTGGCGTGTAAAGTGGAAGAATTCAACGTATCTATAGGTCAATTTGTGGCAAATATCAAAGGGGACAGAGATAAAGCGTCAGATATTATATTAAACAATGAATTACTGCTGATGCAACAGCTGAACTATCACTTGACCATCCACAATCCATTCCGACCAGTTGAAGGGTTCCTTATTGACATTAAAACAAGATGTTCATTAGCAAACCCTGAGCGGCTCAGAGGAGGTATTGACGAGTTCCTTGAGAAGGTATTTTTGACAGATGCTTGTTTGTTGTACGCTCCATCACAGATAGCCCTGGCGGCTGTGCTCCATGCAGCTAGCAAGGAACAGGAGAACTTGGATAGCTATGTGACAGACATGCTGTTTAGGGACGCAGGACAGGACAAGCTAGCAGTACTGATTGAAGCTGTGAGAAAAATTAGGTCATTAGTTAAAATGGTGGAAAGTCCTGCTCGGGAGAAGGTCAGGCTTATAGAAAAGAAATTAGACAGGTGTAGGAACCAAGAGAATAATCCTGACAGTGAAATTTATAAGAGGAGAATGAGAGAACTCCTGGATGAAGATGATATTCCCCACACTGGATCCAGTAGGATGTCTTTGGACACTAGTGGGGTGACACAGGTCCTGTCACCTTCTGCATCATAGAGTAGAATAAAACCTCATGATACTTGAAAAAAGAACACATATTGTCAATGGAAAACTTTTAAATACTTTTTATTTTGTCAAATGTAATTCAGCTTTTATTAATCGAAGCATAACTTTGATCATACGGATATGTAAAGATGCTTATATAAACAATTCAGTGTTTATTTCAGATAACTGTAACAGCTACTTTTGCAACCTTCGGTAGGTTGCAAAAGTAGCTGTTACAGTAAAGCTCTAAAGATAAAGATTAATAAATTGAATATATGTGATTTTAAATATTTATATGCACGGTTACAGGACCTAAATAAAATAGTTACTCATTAAACCTGGCTATTTGTGCCATCAACAATGTTTTAATTTAATCTTTTCCATTTTCAGTACAATTTTATCACTAAAGCTGTTAAAAAAATACTAAAAATTAATATCCAGATTAGCAGGACTTATCTAAACATGTAGTTTTAAGTTTATTATGACTAGATATTAAATAAATTTTATATATGAACTTTTTGTCGTGTATTTTATTAATTACCTACCTGTACTTATTGTGGCCCACCCTAGCAAAATAACAAAGTAACAAATTGTATAGAACTTGGAAAAACATGCTCGGTATTTATGTACAAATATATCATACCATAGGAATGGCGATAACTTCAAAGTCAGTGCTTTTCGGAAGGGAATCCAATACAACGCGTGTAAGCTTCATGCTAGATGTTTTTTCTCGGTGTTACTATATAAAATTAAGTACCTAATACTTGCCTATCTATACTTCTATATCTATACATTACTAATATTATAAAGAGGAAAGATTTGTACCTATTTTTGTATGTTTGTATGTGTAATGAATAGGCTCAAAAAGTACTGGGCCATTTTAAAAAATTCTTTCACCAATAGAAATCTACATTCTTCCAATTTGACATAGGCTACATTTCATTTTGAAAAAAATTACGGATCTTTGGTAAAATTTGAACAATATAAACGAAGGTGTAGAAAAATGAGTCTTAAAATGTCTTTCATCGAATGCGCTGCCGAAACTATTAGCCATAAAACAAAATAATGTACAACAATATTGAAGAACATCATAATATCTATAAAAAACTCCACGATAGCGTATGTCCAACTATTGTAGTTATGTCACTACAACAATACAAATTTCCAAAAATAAATAATTGTCTACCCCGTGCGAAGCCAGGACGGACTGCTAGTAATACATAATTATATTGTACGTATTACGATCTCGACGATGAAAACTAGTCTGGAACCCCCAGACTTCTAACACCCTAGGACCCTACTAGTAGGTACATCCGATTCATCTTGTAATCCCTCTTTGAGGAGTGGCTTGAGAGACGCTACGGCGTCCTCACCTACCGCCTGACCGCCGCTCTGCATGGGCTGAGCACCGCCATGTCCTCGGGGATGTGATCGGCGATGGCGATCTCTCGCGTCCGGCGCTTATTCAAACTATGGTTCGGAGCGAAGGGGATTGGGATACCGTCTCCTCCTTTTGCGAAGCAGTCATGCTAGCTAAGGAGGAGGCGGGGCGCGTGAGGTAATGAATCTCCTTACGTAACATAAATAGTAAAAATGTGGGTGTTATATTATACAGTGGCATTAATTCCGTAACGTGCACCTCGGCCTACCCCTTCGGGGATAAAAGGCGTAATGTTGTATTCCTCTTCTGTGCGGCGTGTGCCACTATGCACCAATTGGTGAATTCTCAACTAATCCCAGGATAACCCATTCGCTTAAGGAGGCCATACATGCTAGGTTATGCATGATGGTTATAACTTTGTATGCAAAACCGACAAGCATAACCGAGTTTCATACCACACATACACGTTAGGTTTTGCATGTACATGCACCGATAACTAAGGCCTTAATATGAGTTTGTTTTACGTAACGAGTACGCGTTCGGCACTCTGATTGGTTGGTTTATTGGCGCCGGCCAATCAGAGTGCTGAACGCATCAGTTTAATAACATACACGCTAGGGCTTGCCTGTCGGTTATGCATGCACGGCTCAAACCATCATGCAAAACCTAGCGTATATGGCCACCTTTAGTTTTTCTTTCTATAGGTGAAAATACCTTTTCGATCCCTTGTTACTCTGTCTAGTACTTACCAGGTACCTAGTAGATACAAGTAGCGCTTAGTATCTACCTACATTGATGACTTATATTTTTTTGGGTTGTTTCAGTGGTTTTTCTTACACAAAAGTAGGTATTTTTATGAGATTTCAAAAGAAGTTTAGGTAGTCTATTAGGTATCTTAATAAAACAAAAGAAATAAATAACAAAGCTTAGTTTATTCGAAGCAAAACATAGTTTAACACGACTTGGATCCATGTGCTTTAAAACCTCGTGGTGACAACAATAATTATAAAATAAGCCCTCCATTTAATCATAGCGGCGACGTTTGTTAGAAAACTTCGTATTGAAGTTTTCCCTTTAAGGTTTCTGGCAAAGGAGAAGTTTCTCGGCCTCATTCTGAAAAAAAAATAAAATTTAATTAGTTATGAAAGATAAAATTAGGAAGGTACAGATTGTTCATATTTTTGGTACCTAAACTTAAACATCACTATTTTTGTATCCTGGGTGCGTTAACAATGTTAACCATACCCGGAAAAACAATTTGTGGATCACATCAAAACTTGTTCCGTGCGGCCAACGATTCCGCAATACGTTAAGGAGGCCATACACGCTAGGTTTTGCATGATGGTTTGAGCCGTGCATGTGTTACCGGCCAAACCCGATTTCAGGAAAAACTAGTTTTGCCTAGGCTAAACTAGTTCTTCCTATACGCGTTAGGATGAACTAGTATAGCCTAGTTCAAACTAATTTGTCCTAAGCCCGATAGGATAAACCAGTTTGGGCTAGGACAAACTAGTTGATCCTGATATAAATAGGCGCACTCTAGGATAAACTGGTATGGTCTAGTCTAAACATTCTAATATAGGTATCTAGAAAGTCAAAATAAATAGATAAATTAAATTAAATACTCCGTAATTGGTAAAATAATCATTTTTATTAAACTATAATGATTCGTCGTTAAAACTTATGGTTAATTGGTAATACAAACTATAACAAATAATAAGTGTTTTTTAAAAGAAGCAATAATTATTTAAATGTTATTAATTTAAAATCACAATGATTCGTTGCTACAACTTGTAGATAATAATTGGCAATACAAACAATCATACTATAACTGACAATAGGTACTGTTTATTTATCACATAACATCACGCCTTTTACCCCCGAAGGGGTAAGCAGAGGTGCACATTATGCCACTGTACAATGTAACACCCACTTTTAACTATTTATGTTACGAGTCCCATGTAACAGGCCTATTGCTATATACCGGGCATAATTCCAGTCTCCGTGCTACTACTGAGATTTTGTTTTTAAAAACCTAGTAAGTAATACTATGCCCGATCCGGGAATCGAACCCGCGACCCCTTGCCCGGCAGTCGCATTTGCTACCACTTGGCTAACGAGGCAGTCACCCTGTTTTTTATAAAAGCAATTTAAAGTCAAAGTCAAAAATCATTTATTTCAATTAGACCAGGAAGGCACTTTTGAACGTCAGCAATAGAAATTTAAAAATGAAGCTATTTGCTCATTCCAAGGTGTAGATTCCTATGGAGAAGAACGAGCAAGAAACTCCATAGGTTACTCTTTTCCAATCAGTTTCACAATACAATTCTTCAGTTACACAGTTTTATTGGTTTGATTGTGCGAGAACAATGTAACACCAAATCTAGCCAAAGAGATTGAAAAAGAAAATAACCCTTAAAGACAATAAATAATACAGTCTGGAGCTGACCAGTCACAGTTGACAATAATCATACTATGACTACGCCATACCAGTTTATCCTAGAATGTGCGTATTTACATCAGGATCAACTAGTTTGTCCTAGCCTAAACTGGTTTATCCTATCGGGCTTAGGCTAAATTAGTTTGAACTAGGCTATACTAGTTCATCCTAACGCGTATAGGACGAACTAGTTTGGCCTAGGCAAAACTAGTTTGTCCTGAAATCGGGTTTGGCCGGTAACACATGCATAACCGACAGGCAAGCCCTAGCGTGTATGTGATTAAACTGTACAGTTATCCGTGCATCAGTGCTCGGTTATGCTTGTCGGTTTTGCATGCACAGTTATAACCATCATGCATAACCTAGCGTGTATGGCCTCCTTTACGCCGTATTCAGAAATAGCAATAAATAGCGCCAACCGTGCAATTTTATCACTATCCTATGAATATATAAAGTGGGTAAGTAGGTGTCTGCTTAAAGACACAAGAAACAAATAGAATACCTGGATTAATTTATAAATCGCAGCAATAGTTTCGTCGCTCCTGCATGACATGGTGGCAGTCACCGCTCCTCGCTTCCCGCCCCAGCTTGACGTGAACGTCAGCTGTGCTTCCGTGACCAGGCAAAGACAAGCCAGGAAAAGGACGAAGAGGCTGATCTTGTTCATGATGGAAAGATATAAAAAGAAACAAGTGAATTTGATAAAGGATTGTGAAGAATGAGATGTTGCTGAGAAAATGTCTGAGGTTTTTATACTAGTGTGTTGAAGCCTTAGCAATTTTAATTTGTATATGATTGGGAGGCTGTGACGTCACATATGTACGATTGTTTTCCATTGATATGTTAAGATGAAGGTTGATTGTTTATTCCTTGCAAACTCCATACGTTAATTTACGTTCCAAAGGGACTGGATTTTTTTTTTTGTTTTGTTCTGAGTCCCGTATAATTTAAAGAGTTTACACTCTCTAGTTGGCTTACGCCAACACTATATCCTAGAGAAATAAAATCGAAATGAAAATGATTTAATATTCGAACTTAGAGGATTTCGACCCAAGAATCTAACCATACGACTTACGAAGCGGTCCATTTTCCAATTCTTCATATTTTATTATTATATTTCTACCCTTCTGTAGAAAGTTGTTTCTATACCACATTGAAATGTATACCACATTTCAAAAAAATAACATGACATAACACCATTTTTATCACCGAAGGGTGAGGAAGAGGTAATAGGGGGTGAGCCTATTGCCATATACCGGGCACATCACAAAATATTTCAGGAAATTAGTAAATTCTTCAGAAAATTTATTAAACATTTATATATTTGACGAATGACTATTTATAATTGTGTAATTATATCTACCTTCAAACATTTGTAAGGTACAGGTACCAGAGAGGGTCTGAAGCCTGCTCCCTGAGGTCGTCGGTTTATTGTAATCTAAATGAAATGGAATACCAACTGACAATTTTCCCTGTTTGTATGTAGCTTCTATTTTTATAAGGGAATGGAATTAGATATGGGCAATATATTTATAGAAAAAAGCTATTTAAAACCACCTGCAAGGTTTTGTTGATTCTTTTTAATAAATTTTTTTTTTTATTACTTTATTAAATTATAATTATTTTTACGTGCTGTGTAGTAAATAGTAGCAGAGCTATTGTAGCTTTGATACGGAGTTTATGTCAAAATTCTATCTCTAACTAATTCACGTTTCACGAACTAGGTGCTACACGCTACGTACTTTGCACTAAACCTACGTTCTACGTGTTGCTCACTGTGGGCTACCGTTTAAGATCTACGTATTGGGATTACGTACTACGAGCTACTAGCTATGCACTGGGGATACGTACTACGAGCTATATACTACGCATTGGGCCTACCTACTACGAGTTATGTGCTTCGCATTGGGGCTACGTACTACGAGCTACGTGCTACGCATTGGGGCTAAGTACTACGAGCTACGTGCTACGCATTGGGGCTACATACTACGAGCTACGCTCTACGCATTGGGGTACATACTACGAGCTACTTGCTACGCATTGGGGCTACATACTACGAGCTACGGGCTATGCATTGGGGCTACGTACTACAAGCTACGTGCTACGTATTGAGGCTACATACTACTAACAAGTAATGAACTGTGGAATATGTGCTACAGATTAGGGTTACGTATTACGGGCTACGAGCGACGCATTGGGGCTCCGTACTACGAGCTACGTACTACGTATTGGGGCTACATACTATGAGCTACGTGCTACGTATTGAGGCTACATACTACTAACAAGTAATGATCTGTGGAATATGTGCTACAGATTAGGGCTACGTACTACGAGCTACGTGCTACGCATTGGGGCTACGTACTACGAGCTACGTGCTACGCATTGGGGCTATATACTACGAGATATGTGGGCTACGTATACGGCGCTACGAGTTTCGTGCTACGCAATATGTAGTTATTAACACAGCAGAGATGTGTAGTTTGTAAAAATTCTACCTCTAATCTAGGAGTAAGAAGTACCTCTAATTTACCAATTTATAGTACTGACTACTGACCAGAAATCATAACAGTTAATAAAGAGTAAACAAACCGTCAGTATACGATTGTCTTTCAGTAAAAAATCATTAATCATTCTTTGATCTGCTGTAAAAAAACACATTCCCAAAATATTAACAAAGTTCTTCAGCACATTAACAAGTCCCTTCAATCTTCAATGGTGTGACCTTCCCGTCCTCCTACGCCTACGTGCCCAACGAATGATGTATTATCTTCCGCTGAAAAGGTCACCGCTGAAAATGACCAAACATCTAAAAAAAACAACTTAAAAAACATATTATCTTCATCACAAAATGTGATATACTCGTACAGCGGGCGAGCATTTCATTAACATTGCTGAGGTTTCATTTGATTTGCATAGAAAACCTTTAAGGTTCGCCATAATTAATACAAGGGATATATAATGCTGACCATCTTCTCTTGTGTCCATTCGTTGTGTGGCAGAGCTTTGGGAAGTACAATCAAAATGTGTCGCGTTATTCTCTTGTTTTTCTTCATAGCCGCCATTGCTGTGTTTGTAGAACCCCAGCTGACGTTTAGCTCAGGTTGGGGCAACGGAAAGAGGTCCATCTCTTCAGAACAGATCAACGATGATTGTAACCCGGAAGAAGCGATTTTTCAAATTTATAAGCTCATTGTGGTAAGTATATACTGGTGATCAAATAAAGCTCGGTGATAAAATATTGCACATCAACCTTTGGAAAGAGATAATCAGCCAAGTCATTGCGTAAACAAAAAAAATTCTCCTCAAACCATAAAAAGATTGAAAAACAAAATGTTTTGTTCAAATTAATGATCGTAATATAACTCAAAATTCTCCATTAGCAGATGTGCACTATTTATCGCTGTACTTACCTACTTCTTAACATGAACCCAGGACTATAAACCATCTGAATTATTTTCAATTTAATGTTTGAAAAGTTAACTTCGATAACGAGGGATCGAACTTACCCAAATTAAGGTTTGATCAAAGAGATTGTTGTTTGGTGAAGCATCTCACATATAATTTAATTATATTGTGTTGTGGTGTGTTAGAGGAACACGATCATATAAGTTTACAACATGTTAGAAACATTACACAATTAATAATGGTCACGAAAATGTTGTAATTATTAACAGAGTCATAAATACGTTTACTAAGTATTTGGTCTGTGGTCTTGAGATGACAGTGTTATATTTTGAAATCATCTGTAAGTGCTTGGAATTGCACCCTCAACTCTTACAGATATTAATAGAAATAATGTTATGTTGTTTCAATCCTATGTATTAGAATTCTTAGCTTGTGTTAGTTTGTAACATAACATCCCCGAAGGGATAAAAGAGGTGATGTTAGATGATAGAAGTGTTTCAATGTGCAGAGGTGCACATTACGGCACTTAATGCCACTGTACAATGTTTACCCACTTTTCACTATTTATGTTATGAGTCCCATGTAATAGGGGGTGGAGCCTACTGCCATATACCGGACACAATTACAACCTTACCACACTCCGTGCTACTACTGAGATTTTTTTTCAAAATCCACTAATACTTTTCCCGACCCGGAAATTGAACCCAAACCATCTTACTTGGCACTTGCGACCTTGTTAGTTTGTAATGAATAGGACTCAAGAAACATAATCATGGTTCTACTAAAACTAAAACTGAATATTAATATTACATATTTTCTCAACAGGCGGAAGGAGAAAAGATCCGTGCATGTCAACGGGAAGGAAAAATGTAGTCTTCACTAGAATCCATCGGTACTCGAGCGAAAACGAATTAATTATAAAAAACCTGCTTAGAAATATTTATTTAGAATTTTAGTAAATTCTATATATAGTATGAGTATATAGTATTGTATGTAACTATTACTTAGCTAATAATATTGGTGGATAATCTATTAGGTGTATAAAGTAGTCAAAAGCTTTAGTTGGACCAAAAATGCTGCCTTGAGGAACACCCTTTTATTTTTCTTTTGTTTAGACTACTTTCAGAGCTTAATATTTTATCTACCTTAGGCTTTATATTAAATGTAAGTAGGTAAATAATGGCTGGAAATCTATGAATTACAATGATTTTAATAATGTTGTATAATTTATTTATTAAATATGTAACGAATGTTGTTTTAATTGAGTATTTTAATCTCACCTTACTTCTGACTTCTGCCCTTTTTTAGATATTAAGATTCTTAAATCACAAATAATTGACAATTGCTTCCCACATACCTCACCTCGTAGATTTCAACCTTATACTTTGTTAAAGTTACCTTATCTCGTTGATCTAGTGATGAAACTTAGATTCTTTAGTGGTGAGTACTATTTTATGCAAAACAATGAGTTCTAGAATCCCGAACCTTAGATTTCACGAGAACCTGCATTTCAGCACTGTCAAGTAGGGATCTGAACTAAGTATAGGATGCAACAGGAATGGGGACAATTTATTTGCAACAACAAAATAAAACTCTTTCATATTTCGGTATACTTTTATTAAAATCCTTTTTTACACCGTTCCTTTAATATTAAATGGAAATGGTAAGAAGAAGGAGGTATTTACTTTCTTTGTCACCCTCGAACGCATCTCTCGTGATCAGACTGCCTAGTGCGAGCTCATTTTACTTAACACAATCGACATGTCCCTTTGATTGGTGGCTTATTGGAGCTGACCAATCAGAGCGGCGAACGTCATAAACGTACCAATCGTCTTAACGTAAAACAATCTCGCATTAGGTACTCTGATGTGTAACTAACTCTTCAACAGCGTTTTTGACTATAAAATCTTTACTGAAATCGATTTGGAGATTGACAGGCCATTTTAGTCTCCTAACCTTATAATTGGGGTGCCGTACATTTACACATTCACTTAACCTACCTTCCTCTATCATCGTCATCTCAGATTCGACGCAAAGATTTGGTCTATCATTTGACACTGCTTCATTTTTATCATCCAGTCTTGATAATCTACCTGTGGATACATTTGATCACTAAATACTATATACTAATGCCTGAATTAAACAACCGATCTTTCAATATCTTTAAGATCGATTTTTGATAGTTAATCTATCTTTGGTGGCCAAGTCTACCAATAGTTAGGTTATCAAGACTGGTCATACCTTTCAGTACCAAGGGCAACTGTGTTTATAACTGAAACACTAACAGTGACAGATATGTTGAAAATGTATTATTATACAGTGACTTAATTGACGTTACAATTAAATGTTAGGATCGTGCTTGTAACATGCGTAGAACATGCATTGTAAATGTAAGTTTTTGACCGCACAGAGTGCGAAGACTCAGTCAAATCGTCATCGATATTACCGTTGAGTTTAACAACTCTGAAGACAAATTCTGGAAGTATCGTCTACGGCTGAATTTAATAACCAATCTCAGTCCAAAATCGGATTGAATGGACATCGATTTGGGACATTACTTTTTATAGAGTTTCTGTCAATATCGACCGGATTATTTGGCATATTATTTTGACACCGATTATTGGCATACCACAACTCGTGGTATACGCAGATATACGCGAGATTTAATGTGTTTTCTATTGAGTCTCATATAGCGACATTGAAGCGGTTAATAAAATAATATCAATAATGTTAGATTAAGGTCGATTATTAATTTCTACAATATCGATACCCCAAGAACCTGTTTTCCATAATAATACATTTATAGACAATAATCTTAAAATTGGAATAATTAATTGTAATTAGGTATTTATGCAATATAACTAACGTCTACTCGTCTCACTGATAATATTCCATAAGAGATCAAAATTGGGTTATGATTTAAACTACTGGCTAATATCTTTAAGACTGCAGTATTATCGATAACAACAATTAAGACATTGAGTCTACAATTAACATATATTTACAAGGTATCATAGAACAAACACAAACCTCATAAGCGCTGGTTAAGACCTTGAAACTGAACAACTATTAAATGACCCCAACCGCCTTCGGTGAGGCGAGAGGTAGTGTCAGACTTTCACTGAATAAAAACCACCCTTTCCCTATGTCTCCTTGATTGACCATGCAGAAACTATTTTATTGCGCCATAGCTTTCTGGGAGGAGTGTTTTCAAAAATGTTGGTGTAAGAAAAATATCCCAAAGTTATTTTATTTCATGGCCTGAACCAGTTCTTACAAGATTCCGCGCATATTCTACCACACCCAGTTCATGAAAAGGTTACACATATGTGCCTAACACATCTACCGAGATTTTGAGCGTTGGACATAGGCTAACATTTCCTTACATTACATATTATAATGAATGGTAAATGAAATAACTAGGTATACATCGTAAAAACGAAGATTCGCTCGTCACAGCCCAAGTATACATAATATTTAAGGACACATCTATAACGTTATTTATTGCACATATTGGGGATAACGTCTAAATTTCAAATGAAAGGACGGAAGAGAAAAAATGAGCAAGAATTTGTAAAACCATAGCCTTATCCTTTACTACTGTTCTATTAAAAAAAAAGTTTTGTGACAATTTGAATTACGAACACCGATTAATTTTACAATGACGGTCATTTTCCGCCATATTGATTTATAGTCTACATTTTTATTTGGATTGGAGTAAATATTTGTGATCAAATTCCTTGTAGTACTGTAGTAGCGGGCTGGTGATTATTTTGTTTTTATTATGTCACAAAACTAATACACGAGCGTGCTACACTATAGATCTCGCACATCGATTTCCCCAACTGTCCAATTGCGTCAATAGATTTTTCATTCTATTCCAAAACAATAAAGTATAAAATCTATTAACATAGACAGGAGTATCTTAATGTGCGAGCGTCGCAGACTATTGTGTTATATTGTGGAATAGGGCATTAAAGTGATATTTAACAGTATATGAAAATTACGTGATAACGCACATCGAGATTGATTTAAATGTATACCCATAGAAAGTCCCCTGGGCCATGGGTTCAAAGATAATTCATAAAAAAGTATAAAAATAAAAGTATCATAAATTTTTAACATTAAATAAATAAATAATACTGTAACAGGCATGTAAGAAAACAGGACAAAAATACTTTATTTAAAAAAGGAACGATGCATACGAGACGCCAGCGTATCAACCTCCTCCAATCTGTTATTACATTTTCAACTTTACTCCGAAACGCTAAAGCTGAAAATATTTTACAGACCGGAGTGGCTAGACTTTGCTTGTGTTTTATTAAAAAGACAAAAAAATGTCTTTGAAACAACAGCGCAAGGGACAAATAAACTACGAATAAATGTAATTAGGAAACATTGAATAATATTTACAGTGGTACATATTATAGACAGAGAAACGAATAGTTAATAAACCTTATAATTTTAAATATAGCTGTACACTGAGCGACACAGGTGTAGAAAGTTGTAGGCCCAACTATTTACACATTTACTAAATATTAAATTTTACCTACCGTTTGTGTTTTGGTGGAAATTTTAATATCGGTGCCATAAAAATAAGTTTATTTAGAATTTTCAATCAATAAAAGCTTGTTTATATAGTTTTGCAAACCAAAACACTGGGAAATTAATATCATTACATTACACATGAAAATTTTGTAGTAAGTTTATTTTTTAGCCCTTGAATATGATTATCGTATTAAAACTTCCACCAAGACAGTACCAGATTAATAATAATACTTATCTAATAATATTTAATGATTTTATAAATTCCTTCTTGTCTCTTCAATGTGTGTCACCATACGGCGACACTTGATACTACTCGATACATCACTAGGCCACTGACGGCTACCATAGACAAACAGCTCTACCTTATCTATGATTAGCACGAAATGGTTGACTCCGAAAAATTAAGGCCGCCAACGGTAGTTGACTTTGACTCGATACAAAATAAAAAAATGTTGTCAAAATTGATCACAAGTAGCTAATCTTTGGCAATTTACATACCTGGGAACAATTTGACATTACCTAAGTCTAGTAACCGGAGTTAAACTGAACTCTATCACCTAGATACTGGCTACTGAAGTAATACTTATACGTAAATGTTACCCTTCCTGTTAACATTAGTGCCTTTCTAGTCCATATATCTAACACTTAAAGGACTAAAGTATCATGAAGTAATCACTTATGAGGTTTATATAATGTCTTATCCTAGGTTACATTACGTACGAATCCATACAAGGACTCATATCTTTGGTAAAATTATCGAAAATTTTTAATTCTCGGAAATAAAAATATTTTTATACACAATAATGTTGGGAATCGGGAGCAGGCCTCGTAACTTATGGTTCGATTTAACATTGAAGTATTGAGTCACTATTTGAAATCTCTCGCATTCTGATAACGGAAGCCTTTAGCGTACTATACGGCACCGGGTCACGTACGTATATACAGACACTTTGAGCTCCACTAATGCACTAACGCCAACGAATACTGAGTGGGGATAACGCTGTGACGCTGTGACGCTGTGACGCTGCCTCGAGGAAGACGGTGAGTAACTGAATACACGAAACCTTAGTCTAGTATGGGGGTGAGTTCATGGAGCAGCTACGTCGGGCGGGCGCGGGGCGCGGGGCGGGGGCCGGGGGGGCGCGTCCCCCTCCTCCAGCTGCAGCGGCTCGGGCGGCGGGGGCGGCAGCTCGCGGACTCTGAAGCAGAGCGCGTAGGCCGCCACGAACACCACGTACGGCACCACCACGGCCGCCGCCAGCCGCAGCCGCGGGCCCGCGCCTCTCTCCAGAGACTCGGAAAATCACTTCTCTTCGTCTTCGTCGCGGAATAGGTACGTCGACCTGACATAAAAATCAAGTCATTGAATATGGAAATTGGATGATGTGGTTTCAAAAAAGCCCAATTATTTCAAATCACCTAATCTAATTCAATACGTGACGACGTTCCCACAGATAAATAGCTTATGCAGTTCGGTGGAAGAAGACTATTTCATGTTAAAAAAAAGATAAGTATATGAAGTAGATGTATTCACACTTACCAATAAGCCAAATTAAATAAGGCGAACACAAGTGGGAAGGTGATCCTCGAGATGACGTCTATTCTCTTGGAGCGTGTGGGGAACTTGGACATCCAGAGCCGGCAGCAGTTCTTGCGCGGAGGGTTGATGTGGATCTCGCACTGCCGCATCTTGGATTCCACCACGCCGCCGCGCACCAAGGGTTTCTGTTTGTTGCAGACCAGTCAGGGAGGCGAGACATATTGCATCTTCGACTAAACCGTATGGCTAGGTGCTCTCGAATACAAATTCTTTTTCACTGTTCTCAAAGACTCCATTTTTAACATCTCCATCACATGCATGCTTTTGTAATTAGGAGATTTTGTCTTCCAAAAATAAAGTTCACGACGAAGATGCAATAACTTTCAAACAAGATGACAGTTAAAATGTACCAAATCGTAATTACTGAAGCTAACTACTAAAATTCGGTCCATCTACCTAAACAAACTACATAACTTGAAATTAAAGAATAATGTTCAAATAAATCCAATCAAACGAACAAACAGATCATTCACCTCATTCAAACTCAGGGGCTACTTTCGAAAAAGCCTCATCGTATGCAAAAAGAAAACTAATTATATACCAAATTCTCAAAATACGACATCTAAGATAATTTGTCAAAGCTAAAATATCCATTCAAAAGCACTAAGTAATTGAAGGTCCCAAGTAAATCAGATTTGAGCTCACCATAGCAAACGTGGTGTTACTATCTGTGTCGAGGAGGTCGGAGGCAGCGTCCATGCTGGCTGCTTCCATCTCCCTTCTCGCTTTCTTCATATTTTCTCTATGCATGTCGGATCGAGATGCATAGTTGACTAGAGCGAATTCTAGTAGTGCTCCGAACACGAAGGTGAGGCACACGCCTGTCCAGACGTCGATGGCTTTGGTGTAGGACACTGGTGGCAGGGAGGCGTTGATACCTGATGACTGGGTCGCCATCGTGAGGAGTGTCGTTACACCTGGAACAAGGGTTTTGATGGAAAAAGTAGTACTTATAATTTAGCAGTAAATAGGGTTTAAGATGATATGGTTTGCCTCAAAATGATAAAGGAACGTGCAGTAATTTATATTTGAATACATTATATCAGACATTACCTATGGTGAAGAGAGTAGTTTAGAAAAACTCTCAACCCCCACCCACCATTATGATTAAAAACTTGTGTCAACACACACCTCTGCTCTGCTGCCTCGTTAGCCGAGTGGTAGCAAGTGCGGTTCGATTCCCGGAAATATTGTAGTGTGAATGGGCAAATAATCCATTATTAAAAATTCTCAGTAGTAGTAGTAGCACACGGAGTCTGGAATTGTGCCCGGCGCATATGGCTATGGGCACCCCCTATTACATGGGACTCATAACATAAATAGTGAAATATGGGTGTTACATTGTACAGTGGCATAATTTTTGCACATTACAAAAAATTTTTTGAAAACTATGAAAACCTTTGTTACCTGTGGTTTCATAGAAAAATTTTCAACGAAAACTAGCTCTAAGAATTTTAGATACAGTTCTGAAAAAGATAATGGCTTTAGCAATGTGTTCACTTTAACAATTTACTTGTCTGTGGCATTTTGAAGAGGTTATGTCCAATTTGATACTAGGAACAATCCAGTGCCTGCATGTAATGGCTAACAAGTTTGTAGAATTTGTCGACTGTAATTGTGGGCTGAACATGAAAATCCAGGTTTCAGATTTCTAGAACATTATATGAAAGTGCTGCGAACTCTTTGAAAATACCAACCATATTTTGCTATGATAGTCGCTTATGGGACCGAAGTTAAGTTATTAATTACGCACTGAAATAAGTGTTTTTCAGACGATCTATATATAAATGTATTTTATAGTGGGAAATTACTTTTGATCTCATTAGTGTCACCTGCAGCTGTAGCCAAATGCCAATTAGCGCTTGTCTACATGTAGAATAGAAAACCAAATTATATGGAATTGACGTAAATTTTGACACCTGTCACTGTCATCCCCATACATACATACATTTAGTTTTCTACTCTCTCTGTAGACAACCGCTAAAGTGGCGTTTGGCTAAAGGCACTGATGACACGGAAAGTAGTAAATCTTTAATTTCGATAAAAGTACCTTTTAATAAATCTTAACAAAAACTGCTCCTTGTACCTACCTTCTGAGGATACCAAGCCAAACTTCAAATGGTTACAATATCTATACAACTATGCAGATAAATAAAATAAATTGTAGTGTCTGTTTGTAATATTAAAATAACCGCTTTTTACTACATGCATACGAATATACTTACGATACACATCCAAAATACCATTTTTTACAACTTTTTTCTATCTGTCTGTTTGTACTGGCTAATCTCTGGAATGGCTGGACCAATTTTGCAAGACTTTTATTTTTTATTGGCAGGTAGCTCATCAGCTACCTGACATCAGTACATCTACTAAGGACAACATAGCCTACTTTTATTTATAAAAATTGAAACAAGTTATTTTCTAAAATTCATATTTTACGCGGCTGAAGTCGCGGGCAACAGGTAGTTTATTCTATAAAAAGAAACTTACATCATGGTAGATAAGTTCATCATACCTAGTGAGACTCTAGCAGGCACAGCTCCCTGGTCCAGCCAGAAGGACACCCAGGACACGATGACCAACATGCAGCATGGGATGTAGATCTGGATCAGGTAGTAACTGAACTCCCGCTTGAACAGCAGGTCTACTTTCAGACAACTGTATTCACCTGGAAGGTTAAACGTAAAATTAGTTTCTGAAGAAGTTTATGTTTTGTGTTTAGAAGTGACGCATCGTTATGTGTGGTTTTCTGAAGGTGTTCGTGCTACGTGAACTAAGTATTTTGAAATCGGCAATTTTTTCTCAAGATTTCCTTTTACGTAAGCGTGGAGCAACTACTACAAGAGCATTATAACAATAGGGTAGATGACTAATTTTTATTTTAATGTCCATCTGATAGATTATTTTAAAACATTAGACACGTATTTTTTAATTTGTTACGGAAACGAATAATTTCGAGGATGTATTGATTTGAAATATCGCATGACGTCACTTTTGAGTACATACTGTAAAATGTTTATCCTAAACTTTGACTCGTTTTACTTAAGTAACAATACTTGGTGTTGTAAACAATACTCACTGTCGTGTAACAATTCCTTACACGACAAAATAAAAAAAATACGTGTCTAATATTTTTTCATTACCCAACTGGTCCGTCAGTAATTAGATTTTTAATTTTCATACCTTGTCATATTGTTTCATAGAATTTTAATCAGAAAGCTATCCCTTTGTATCAATGACAATCGTTCTCTGAGACAGTAGAAGTACTCTAATGTCGGAATACTGAAACGCTACTCAATTTTAAGTCGTGCTTAAGTATAGTTCTATCTCTACAAATTCTTTGTAAAATGACAGAGATGGCACGATATTTGAGTTCGACTTAAAATTGAGTAACGTTTCAGTATTCCGGCATAAGTCAGTTATTCATTTACCAGTATTAGTTTTGCTGTTACAGTAGTCAGTAAGGAACTTTTCTAGAGTGAACCGAGGCAGATGTAGGTTCTTCACAACCTGGACTGGGTCGCCTTCCTTCCACAGGAACACTAAGTCGTCTGTCGTCCAGCCGTCTGGGGAGTTATAGAAAGGATTTAAAGATTAATGTTACAAATAGCATGAATCTAAATAGCCGCAGGCACCATTCACCACTCTTCACCATTTTTCATATCTTTGGACGGTCGATAATTCTGGGAATAATCAATTCTAATCTTAGTAATAGAAATGTAATACCGCAAAAACAGATTTGTAAAAATAGACGATAACTATAATTAGATTCAAAATTCCCCAATTCTATATTTATTGCTGCACAGAAATCTGCATGGTTTCAGATAACTTCTGACAAAAAACCCACACAGATTTAGCAATGACTGACTTTCTTGACTACTAAATGGTGCTCGCCAAAACATACCATCAAGTTGATAGGCAGCTTTACACCTACGAACGGAATGTCCATCTTTAATTAACTATCGAACAAATGGTATTCATAAAACCTCATAACAAAAATTACAATGACAATTTAAATAAACACCGTTTTTACCGATTCAAGGCTGCATTTGTTTACAAGGGGTGTTGAAAATCAGAGCTATTCAGGAAGACAGCACGCAATGTAAACAACGTAATGAAATGTAAACGGACCGCTCAAATATCTGCCCGCTAACTGCTGGGCGCAGCTGGTGTAAGTAATTTTTGTGAATGACATAGTTTTATTTTATCGTGTCATAACGATTATTATTGTTGTATCGTTACTTTCCTGCTCCGTTTAAGTTTGAACTTAAATTACATTTTAGTTTCTTTTAATTTAATTTAAATACAAGGTCATAATGAGTTTTTGATATGAAAAGGTTTTTTAACCTTCTCCACTCGTTAATATAAGAATCATAACATAAGGGGCGAATAAACTGGGTGTCAATCGATTAAATATACATACATGGTTGTGTACGTCTGTACAGCTGCACAGTAGAAAATACGTTATAATAATCTCCTAAACTATATCAGAACATAACATCAAGCCTTTTATCCCCGAAGGGTTTGGAAGAGGTGCACATTACGGCACTTAATGCCATTATGTAATATAACACCCAGTTTTCACTATTTATGTTTTGAGTCTCATGTAATAGGGGGTGAGCCTGTTGCCATATACCGAGCACATTTCCAGACTCCTTGCTACGACTGAGATTTTATTTTTAAATTATTTCAGAAGAAAAGAATCAAAATTATACAAATAATATTTGCATCTGATACATTCTGTTTTTGCGATACGCGTTTAATTTATATATCAAAGCTGCAGATTAAAACTATAAACAAACTACTTACAGCTGGCCATTCTCAACGAGCAGGTCTGTTTATCCAGAGGATACAGCTTCAAGTTCATGGGACAGGACAGCGTGAGGGAGATTCGGATGCTGTACAGCACATTGCCATTAGGGAAGATTCTAATGTACACGTTGGGCATGATGATGTTGTGGAAATGACCTTCCTTCTCGTTGGAGAAGAACAGATCCGGCATCCAGACTCTGTTGGCTTCTGTCAGGGTTAAGTACTTGAGGCGACCTGGTGGAATAGAGAAAATTATCAAATCGTTGGTTGAGAAGTAAATGCTAGTGTGGTTGTTGATTTTTAATGTTGTGGATAAAATTATAGTAAGAACACACGAGTTTGAATTAAAGAGAGAGTTTTTATAACTAGTTTTACTTAAAGTTTTATTATGAGACCAGAGACTTAAATTGATTAACTTGGACTTTAGTTTAGTGAATAATCAGATAGACATAGAAGTACACATACCTCCCAAATTATTGAATTTGAGGCGCTCATCTAACCACTGTTCTCGGAACGTTAACTGTACCGAGTATTCCTGAAAACATTACATTATTTGTAGCAATTGTAAACATCCCAACAAAAACATTGATATATTGTCAAAGAAGATAAACACACTGTTACTTTTCATTAGTCTGAAAACTTTGAATTAACTCCAAAAACCCTGATTAATATAAATAACGATATTCATCGTTACATTACGTTTTAGTAAAATATCAACATCACGATTTTCGTGACAACGGTTTTTAACGAAAAACTTTTGTCGTTAATGTAATAAATTAATTATTTTGACAATATTTCAATGCAGACCCCATTTATTACTCTAGGTATACTAAAGACATGTTCTCCACTTTGCTTTCGTAGCATCTGTGCATCTAAAAGCTTCGTCTTTTTTAGAACCATTTTATTCTTCTAGTCTTTTAGTTAACGCACAAAGCTATTCACTAATGACTTTATTTTACCAGTAAGCTTTTAATATGTCTTTATTTGTGCCAATATCATCCTTTTGAGTAACTTTTTTATACAATACTGTACAAAGAGGTGCCCAAAGTACTAAGTGCAAGTTCCCAACGAGGTGGTACTGGCACATAATGATTTATTTACATGTAATATTACAACTAAGGGAGGGGACGGTGTCGAAGGTTCGCTCAATAATTAATTTGACATCAAGGCACAATGCACTAGAGGATCCCTCGACATCTCAGCAAGTCAAATGAATTATCGTACAACAAAAGCCGGCAGATGCTCCAACAAGAAGATCAGACATGCACACTCGAACATTTACTTTTGGACACGAGCCTCACTAACGAACGCGGTAATGATGGAAGAGATCATGGATTTCATAAAGTTGATGAACTTAGATATAGATTGTATGTACATGTGGGCAACATGAGTACTTGTCGTGAAGGAAATGAAGGTCTCCCGCTACTGTCAGCTCCACTGGCTCAATAAATCATCGCCATCCAAAAGTGAAGATTCGAGCGCCATCGTTCGAAGCAACATGCATAGAAGCGAAGCCCAGTTCGAACTTACCGTCTCCAGCATTCGTTGAAGGAATGCTTTTATTACCTTCATGCACAATCGGCCAGTATAACTAGAGCTACGGTACGTCTAGCTGTTGTTTGGGGTCGGGTGTCACATATTGGTGGGCAGCCACCGTTCCAAGCACGAAGGCGAGTGCGGGCGCGGCGGTAAGTCCCGATTACACAACACAAATTCACATGAACAAGACATATCAACAATTCATTACAATCAACGTACACGACCAAAATAGTTTTTATAATTTCCTCATCTGCGTGAACTTAATATAAGAAGCATGATCAAATAAACATAAGAAAAACAAATAAAATGATGGTGTCTGGTGCGGGCCGCGGTCCCCGTGGTACCTACAAGCGTGGCCGAATTACTTCACTTTACAATTAAGTGATTCCTCTTTATTTCTAAGGCAATAGAGTCCAAATTGATTTTGAACGTATCAGTGCTGTGATACCGAAGCGGTAATTTGCTGATCAACAGTTGAGTGCTAACTACTTTAGTGCCAATAGTCCATCCTGCACGTGTTTATACAGCTCGAGACGCGCCTGCAGGAGTGTAGCTGGTCAACACAAATATATAATATATAAATAATAAGGAAGAGAAAGAAAAGAAACAGAAAAGATCTCATTTCACGAAGAAAATTAAAAGCTGTAATTTTGATCAAGATTTATAAAATTAAACCATTATTTATAATTTAGTTGCCAGACTACATTAAGTCTGAGTTTATAATAAAGTAAAAACAAAAATAAAATAATAAGTGCGCGGCACCGCACCACGGGATTTATTTAGCGAAATATTTAGTTAAACATTCAAATTTTACATTAAGGGTGGTTAAATGATACATTTAGGAAGAGGAGAGTAAAGGTGCACAACTTATATAAAACAAACTAAAAGTAAAGGGGAAAGAACAAAATTAACAAAATACACGAACACAATTATTTACGAATAGCTTGAGAATGTTTAGCGTAGTGCAGATATTGCATAATATTTATTATTTTTATTATAAACAAAGTTGCCAAGACTGATCTAATAGACGGGCGCGCTCCACTGCTGCCGCGGTTACTGTCGAACTATTTGGTTGCACCGACGGTGGAGCAATGGATCGCGATATCCCACAAAGAAATCTAACTTTAGTTTATAATAAAAATGTCACGGATTACATCAGGTTATGTGAAGACACTCACCATTTTGTAATCATCTATTTTGCTGATGGACCGTAGATACATGTTGACATGGACTAACGTTGGCGCATAGCCTTAACGACAGAAAACAACAATTTAAATTTTTATTTTGTTTGTACCGCTTCATAGAAATAATGCCTAACGACTAGAGCAACGCGAGAGAAGTACGCAAGTTGATGATAATGTCAGATGCTTAAAGGATATAACGAAGTGGAGCGGGTGTCGCGACCACCTCGCCGACCCTGCGCGCTCCACTTCATTACAGAAAGCTTATGCCCCGGTATGAACTCATAAGGACAACCAGCCAGTCTAAAATTAAAATAAACAAAACTAAATACTATAAAGACTATTTTTTTATTCTATATAGTAAGTTGTAGATGATAAACAAAGCTAGGATATACCAGTACTGGCGTTCTAAGAAGTAACAGACGCGCGGCTAAAAACGATTTTGGTCGTCAACACCAAACGGGATTAAAGAGAAATCGAAAGGAAAAAATAAAGAATAAGAAAAAAATGAACATTACACATAGTGTTCGGGTAAATCACTCCTACTCAACAGGAGAGAGTTGCCCATTCATTTGACTTGTTAGAACCGCGTGAGTACAGAAAACTTATACTTTTGTTATAACTAGTTGCGGCCCAGTCTGTCCTCATTGACTTACCATTGTGACGTCATCGATCTTTGATATACTTCGGACAAATATATTGACGCTCACTACCGCTGGCCCATCTAAGTACCAAGCAAAATATACGATAAATCACGGTATTATTATGAAACTACGGCCTAACATTAGTTTGTGAATGCGCGTTATCATTAGATCAGTAGGACTACCGACTCACCTGTCACCTGTAAACATTAATGTGGGTACACTATGCTCATGGATGATCCGACATAATGATCACACAAACAACATAAATGTAATTGTGATCAAACAAACCTCTAACATCAAATGAAACGACATCGGTTCAAAATAAAACGCTGCAAACAATCTCAAATGTCGGCTTGTCAACGAGAATTTGTGTTAGTGTAATATAGAGCAGTATCTTTCAGATAGGAAACCAAACAAAAACATAAACTAGACATAAAACATAAAAGAAAACTAAAAAGTGAAGATACTATTCAATTCTCGTGGTTTTATAAGGCTGGGTTTTATTAACAGTACCTAATACTTAACAAAATCTAACATGACATTTTATCTGACGACAATTTGAAATTTGAAAAAAAAAACGGAATTAACCGTTAATAAAAATGGCGGATTTTCAATTATTTTTAGGTACTACACGACTTAAAACGCGCCTACATTTTCGTATTAAAATATAATTATTTTCGTTAACTTAGTACCTACATATTCCGTGATGTCGATACAAAAACGCAATATCACGATTGAGGGTTGAGATAACACCGTCTTGGGGTGAAAGGTGGCGTGTAACGGAAATTAACATTTTGTTTTAGAAAGCTACGTGTTCCTTGTTAAATAGCATTTGTTTAGTTCTACGTTAATCCGGATTAAGTTAGCTGTCAGATTGAATTTACCATTTAATTTATTTGTGAGTTTAGAAGCGACATCTATTTTAAATAATATTTACATAGAAATATGAATTAATAGATTAATTTTGGTTTGTTTTTCTAGGCTTATTCACAACTCAGCACACTAGCAGGGCTTCTAAATAATATCCCTTAAGTATTATAAAAGTAATTTAAGGGACAAAAACTATTGTTGAGTGTATCACCCTCTAAGAAACTCCTACATCCCTACAATGAAATACAAATAAAAGCAGCCATTTTGTCCCACTATTTAAACCATTTAAGTAAAGATGATAACAGCCTGGAAAGCATTGGAATGGTTTTAACGGAGTAAACAATAAAACCTGCCCCTAATAGCTTTATAACGATGCTATCAGTTTCAAATGTTATTTACCTATCGACAGTCGTTTTAAAATTCAACAATAATATCTATAATTATACTTCAATTATTCCGTGTCAAAAGATTATTTTGAATCGACAAATGAACTGCTATTTAGGAAAATGGGGCAGCAATTTCAAATATCGGTATAAATAAAACAAATCATTTTAAAATGCATATTGTGATTATTGATTTGTTTTTCAAAGAATTTGTAACAATCGCGTGATGTCGATAGAATATCGTATCCATTATTATAGTTAATGATACTGCAATGTTCCATCGGCTAATTTAATATATTCTATATCGGCTAATGTAAAAAGTATATCCTAACAACGATATTTTTTCCTAAAAATATTCCTTCCCTTGAAGTTCCTACGGATAAGTTTAGATCATTTAACCTTTAAAAGTAAATTCAATCAGCCGTTCCGTTTGTTTACAGCGTCTTAATTTAAAAATAGAATTAAGTTTATGTCAATCATATGTCACATTTTGAAGGCGGTACATTTTTTTTTATAAAATCATAGATAACAATAAAATCCTGAGGTCAACCTTTTTTTAATAACCTGTAAACACACGCTATAAAACACCGTATCAAGTTCAAACAAAACTCAATAATTAAATTAAATAAAAAACGAAATCAAAACACATTACAAATAACGGAAGAAAATATTAATAATAACGAGGAATTTAATTGGAATCACCAAGAAAATCACCAGCAAAATAAAAAGACAGCAGATGATGTCATCATACTATAGATATTTAATTATTTTAATAGAAAAACATAATAAAGGAACTGCTCTCTCGTTTACCGTAACACGCCCGCTCCCGTACGAAAACAGTTAAATAGGCTGTAACATTTGTTTCTCATGTTTTCATACGTTCATATTCAATATTAATTTGTCCAAGATCGTAATTATGAGCAAAATGTACGTGCTATACGAACAAACAAAAAATTACCAATAGGAACACAAAAATAAAATTTAAAATTTTGAATAAAATACCAACTCTATGTAAATGTAAATACGTGCCAATCTGCCTAAATAAGGTCTTTAAACTAGGTAAAACAAACGTTGCCGCCTGACTAAATTTTCCTATATATTTCAAAAAGTGCAAGGATACGAGCTTGGAAAATTAAACGCAATTTTTTCCATAGAGAAATCTCTGAAATATTTTTTTTACACAAACAAACGGTACAACCTCTTTACGGTGTGCCCCCTCACACAAGATGACAATCGAGGATCGTCAAGAAATAGAAATGTCAGAATTAAAATATACCGATTGTCATTCTTAGATCATTTTACCGTCCGACCTTACGCCTCATAGATTCCGATTTCTTGATCGATGATTGAAGTCTTGTCTAAAGGCTATATTCTCATTTACTAACGACACTAACATAAAAATTAAAATTGTTCTCTCTCTCATTACTAACCATCTTAATGTCGCTTATAGTCGTAATACTTCTCACGAACAGGTTAATATTAACTACAGCTGGGCCATCTGTTAAAACGTTTCAGACAAATCAATAAAAAAAGTTCAGTATCCTACCAACCAGTCCATTGATTAAACAATAAAAATTGTATCAATCTTATTGCGGGGTTAGGCAACCTTTCAATAAAAAATACAATATCGAGTTCTAAGGATAACAATAATGAAAAGAAAAATATCGTATTCTTTTCAAAAGTAGACCTAACAGTAAAACATAGATCAAAATAAATATACCTAATAAGAAATAGACTGCCATTAATAATAAATAAATGTAATTTCCTACAAATATTATGATTAATCAATCAATGTATTATATGACAATACTAATAATATTATTCGGAAAACCGATAGTATCCGAACATGTCTAAGTCAAACCGATTTGAGTTTAATCTAACGTGTTGGGAAACGGCTAACGTTCGCGTGTAAGTTAACACATCAATAATTCAACGTTTGTTCACGTAAATAGGTAGCCAAAGGGAAATTAATAGTTTATTATTAACATTGTTACTCGCTCCTAAAGGATAATAATAGTAAAAAACCTATAAGGCTTAATAATAGGGAAGAAATCAATGAATTTATCGAAAACAACTACCAGAATTTTCTAGCTTAATTATAGGACCGAGTCTGAGAGAAAACAAAATAAATATAATGCTTTGTTCAATTATTAATGATTGCTATACAGTTTGAATGTAAAATATAGCTTTAATGAACAATAAAGTATTTGAAATATAAGTGTAATAAAAGGTAAACTATTTATAAAGCCATTTCAAAGGTGAAAGAAGTGAGTTGCTTGTACCTAAATGGTTCAATACGTTATTCAGTGTACTTGACAGCCGAGCGCACCGCAAATAGAATGTTTATAAACAGGGCTGGCGACTAACTACACTTTGTTATTGGTTTCCTAAAAATACTTTTTACCTTTCGACAAAGAACTTACTAGAAAAACCGTTAGAAATGAGAAAAATATTAACACAATACTAGAACCTTTGTGATTATTACTTCAAAGACTGATTACATATTTTTTGGACATGACATGACATTCCTACACAATTTCTCAATAAACAACCTTCAAAAGAATACTTCCTTCAACACAAGCGTCTTCGAAAATATTTAGCAAATAATAACCTCAAAAACATCCAAAGAAAAACAACCTTTTCATCAACACTCGAGAATTCAATAGAAAACAACATTCTTTAATATCTATGTATTTCAAAGACTGCAAAGGGAACGAATCATTAATCTGAAGCGAGCTGGACCTGAGATTTTTAGAGCATGAATAATTGATTAAGAAAAGCGACAACCCTGACTCATTAGAAGGGTGATTAATGAAACCTTTGTGGAACCTTTTGGGGTCAATTCAATGGTGGCAGACGTTGGCGACAATGAATGAAAAGAAACTTCGAACATGTGTGATTAATTTAAACGCGGACATTGTCAGGGAAAATAATTAGTGTATAAAGCGTACCTGGTGAAATTTTTGCAGGAATTACTAATACCAACTTTTAACCTCTTTTTCTTCAACTCTGTCATTTCTCTAAACGCGAACGTTACATAGTTAATTTGCGGTGAGTTCTAGCCTAGCTTTAAACTATAAAATTGTTATTAGCCATCCTTCGGTTACCCAGACAACACGTTAAATTTATTTTTTGTTAAGTACAAAACGTTTATGACTCTGGGAGTTACAAATGAAACTAAACCTCAAATCTAGAGAGTATACAACGTTAAGTACGTCTCATAAAATTCGCTTTTACTACGTGAGTTTATCGCTTTTATACAAAACGTAACATTCAAACGATTACTAACAATGTAACACTTACAATTGCTATTAGTTTCCTGCAATTTTTCTACAATTCTTATTCTTATCTTGTCAAAGAAGTATCCTGCAATTTTGCACTCCGCCTCACTTATCCAATTTCGCATTCAGAGCTTAAATGATGGATTACTTCTCTCACATTTGCAAATAAAACGGTTAAAGTCCAAGTGTAATGCCTGAATCGAGTTCCCTGATTTGTGAATATGATTTTATTGAAGGCAGAGATTCTAGGAAGGATGTGATGTCAGTTACATGATGATGACTAATGCGACGGAATTGTGTGAACGTGAATAAAATAACACGTTGAGTTGAATTACTTGTATTCCTAAAGGCTCGCCTCCATCTCTCAGTCCCAAATAAAAGGAAGAAAAGAGTTTACAAACCTCTCCTCCTCTCCTCTGACTTGCACATTTCCACGAACCTCTTAAAGTGTAAATGCCATTTCCATTAACGAGAAAACTGTACAGAATCATAAAAATCACGCTTAGGGAGCTCCGTGAAATGTTTTTCCATTACTGATTCCCGCGTTCCCGCGCGAAGTTGTAAAAAAAAGATGGCGGAAAAAATCGCGGCGTGATTTATGGTTTTCACGTAGTAACGCTCCACTTTTGTTACGCAATGAACTTGTGGAAATTACGAGATGTAGCACTTGAGTGGCACTTTGATGCTTTTTTGTGTATCACTTGAGAAAACGAATCTTGTTGAGATATTTTAATACATTACAGATAATGAAAGCTAATAATTGAGACGTCTTTAACTTTATTATCTCTAATTTCTTATAGAACTATCAAGCAGGCAATAATTAATTTCTTAATCCAATAATGGAAATGACATAATTACTTAATCCGAAACGTTGTCGAACACGAATCGATAGACCTCTAAGGAACAACATACACACACATAGGTAGCTAGGTACGTCTACCTATAACGTTCCGATGTTTTTCCCCATAATATCAAGAATCAAGCTAATGTGTTCCGACAGCCAGACAAACGACTTCCCTTCAATAGCAAAGATATTAGCTAAAAACCTTTTAAACATCACACACACTATAGAAAAATTACTACGCTTCAATACACAATACGAAAAAGACGGACTTTTGACATAGATATTGAAAGAGGTAGCAAAACCTACTAGATGTGACCTACTGAATAAATGTATAAACAGATGAACTATTTTACATCGACGAAGATGAAAAGGATTCATGAATTTCGATACGAGCATATCTCGCTTGTGAATATTGGTAAAAAATCAATAAGAAAGTCAGAAAGGGCAAAGAACGCATACCAAACTAATCGGTTGACATTTTTAAATATGTAACTAGAAAATAGTTGGAGAGACGCCAAAAGTATTGACCGTAGGAAACATTGGCGGCAGTAATTGAACTTTTATTAACAGAAGACAACAAAAACGTAACAAATAACTCGGATTACGACATTCAGCCTACACTAACAGTTTGCGCACAATCTGTAGTTTATTTTAAGTCGCATTCTCTCCCGACGTAAGCAGTAGGTACTTGTGTTTACATGTGGTATGCACATTCCAGACTCTAACATACTCATTGCAATACGTTATTTTGTAAATGTTATCGATGCAGAAATTGGCAAAGCGTTGCTTTTAAATCTTTCTCAAAAACGCACCGCGGTGACATTTTATTTCTTTTTTTATATTTTCTCTGTAACTATACAGCCAGTTGGTTTGCGAATTTTATTTCATTTCAGTGAAGAAATAATATTTTTACGACCTTTTAGTTTTTTGACGAATCTATTTAAACAAAATTAAAAATAGCATAGTCATTTACATAAAATAAAACAAAAAATTGATATTTATATACATCGTGAGCGACTGTTTCTATCTATTCAGAGTTTGAAAACAAGATTATAATTCAATCAGCAAGTTTTTCGATTCGTTCATTTCGTAACGTTGACAGTTAGTGTTTCTAAAGAACTAGAATTAGCTGTGGTCCTAGCGTGGTGGAAGCGATAGCTTTTTGATATACCTAAAGATATTCTACATTCAGTATTATATCATAAGTTAGTCTTCTTTTAGCAATATAACTAATATAAACATTGATAAGTATAGCTAAAAATTGTCTATATTCCATTTCATTTTACTAGCCGTGATATCTAAACAATAGACATTTTCGCACACCCTTGTGTTTGACAGCGGAGACAGAATAGCATCTGTAGCCAGATAACCAATCATATCTGTAATAACAAACTACCAATTTACTGTCTGGCTAGAAAGGGCTTATAAACTATCATAAGTGAGCACCTAATTCAGATGCACTGTGCCAAGAACCTATTAAATGCATCCGCCGATGCTAGTGCCAAATGTAGGGAAGATATACAAGGCATATAATATTATGTAGAAAGCTTTGCAATATAATATGCTATATATGACTGACTCCCATTCACAATGACGGAGTCCCATACGGTGGTCTGACCAAATATTCGAAGACCCATGAATGTTGCAATGCATCAAGCAACGGAACCAGATAAGTGGCGACATCTTTTGAACAAAATCAGAGGGAGTCATGATCTTCAGTGAGAGAATCGACTAAAAAGAGAGACTGACTGACTGACTGATTGACAGACATCGCACAGCCCTACCAAGGAAGCTGAAACTTCGTATGTATGTACCTTGGGGAGTGTAGAGGACCACTGAAAAGAAGATTCCGCTAAATTCTCATGGGGATGGGAAATGCGGTAATCACCTATTTGCACGAACGAAGTCGCAGCCAGAAGCTACGATAATGTGTATGTGGAAGGGAGATGAGCAGGTGAAGTAAATAGTGACTAATGGACGGACAACGTTGTTTGCGCAAACATTACGGAACCATTAGGAAGACACGTTTGTCATGCATCTACGAATTTGACTTGGCAGACGATGCGGTAGGTTTGAAGGGATTATATTTTGTATGCCCGTAAATATAGAATCAGGTTACTGTTTATTGAGTTATATGGCGATTTTTCTTATGATTGAGACATGTTAATATTGTTTAAACATGTCGCGGAGAACCTAACGGGTAACCGGGGCTCCGGCTCGACGTGCAGGAGAAGGAACGGGGTGGTTTTTAGTCAGTAAGAGTCTGACACTCCCTCCCGCCTGACCCAGGCGGGAGCAGTCATTCGATGATTGGAAAATCATAAAAAAAAATATTGTTTAAACATAGATAGACTTTATTACACTTTAAAAACGTATAATGCGAATTATTTCACGAAGATATTGAGGCAAAAGTGAACCAATAGCAGTTACCTTACCCATTGAAGGAGACAAGATTACAAAACAAACGTTGAAATACCTAGAGGTACAATCAGTACATGTAAACAAAGAGAAACATTTCAAAAGGCAAACTTAGAGACAGTCTTATCATTTATCTTTGAGAAAATTGTAAGAAGGTGCCAACAGTTGGTACGAATACCAACGATAAATGATTGTCATAACAATTCCAAGATGGCGGACTGTCTTGTGTCAGACCTTTAGAATTCGCAACATGGCGTCTTCCTCACAAAAGTATCTTAGCACTAAGTGCTTCTAAATAAAAAACACATTTATCATCATTCCTTTATATAAAAATATGTTTTTAGCTTTTAAATAAGATCAGCGATTTTCTTTAACTTATTTTTAGTTTTTCAAAAGATTATAAGAGGATCCACTTATTTTCGGTCAGCTGTATTGTTAGTTTTAAGAACTAAGAATGGCACTGAAAATAGCATTTAGAATGTCGTGTCTCATACATTTTATAAGAGAAAATCCATTATAAAGTGAAGAAAACTGATCTCAAAAACTTGCCTACAAACCGAGTTCAAAATACTTTCGCCTATAAAAAAACTTATCACTAAGTACTTTTTACTTCGTCCTACGACAACAAACCTACGCCAATGTCTCTAAAATAAAAATGGCGTACAATAATACATTCAGCCGTTATATTTGAACGAGACAAATATAAGAGAAGAACTAATTAATAATGGCGTCAACTAAAATACGTTTGAGTTTGACAACGCCCGTCGCACACGTAGCTATAATATACATATATTAATATATACAATGATGTATATAATGTTATAAATATATGTTTCTGTGACGTCACTACAATATTTTAACCTAGCTTCATGGGGGCTGGATCAAATTATCAAAAGGAGCAGAGCAGTGAGTAGAATACTGTTGGGGAAACGAGAGAAGTTACTCCATTGTGACCCATTTTTTTGATGTGGGGGGAGTCCTTCAAAATGCGCCTAGCTTTTTGGGGAGAAAGACTAGCAAGTGTGGGATTCTTACCTCACTAAAACCACCCCGGTGGCCATCCTCAGCACCTGTAAGGGGGCACCGGGTCCTCTGAAGAGACCTACTGCGGAGCCCCCACGGTGCAACGCCTGATACATACATACATCCCTAAGGAGACGTGCGTGCCCCTTGATCACCGTTTTGCACGGCAACACGTGACCACTATGCTACCGTCTTCCCTGAGGCCACTACTCCATTATGACCTAGCCCCCTCGTCCTATATCTATACATAAGTATTGTGTATATTATAACTACGTGTGTAACGGGCTTAAATAGTTGATTCCCTAGTGACCACATGTTTTATACAGATGTGTGTCAATGTATCAAAATAAACGTGTCAAATCTATTATTACTTCATGATTTACGTCATTAATCAAGTTTATTGTGTTTTTACATTTACGATTATGATTTTACATTAAAGACATTTTACTATTATGTTTTGTTATTTGTACCTAAAAATTGGGCAATAACCTATCTATATTTACTCTCTTATAAAATATATCCGTTGAGTCATCCTTGCCATCCCCTTCTAGCCTTTTTCTCTATCTAATAAAACGTCCTCTCCTGTTCCTCCTCCTCCTTCTGTCCTCTCCTAAGGTTTTCCATTTAACTTCTGACTAATGATTGACTGACTCTACAACCCACTATAGGTTACATTATAGCATGTTCTTACTCAGTCCTATCCATTTACTCATTCTATCTTCCTAGATCCTAAGCTATCGTTTCCACCACGGACCGAACGAAGCTGTAAGCGAAGCGAGGACTTACCAGTGCCATTGATGCCTGAAGGTCGGATCCTGGCGTCGTAACGCCCTGGACCCAGGATCTGATCGAGGATCTGCTTCTCTTTCTCTCGAAAATTTATCTTCCCACCGTTCATACATCTGTGAAGAGGAAAAGTTTTATCTTAATCTGGTTAACTCGTCGAGTACCGGTTTTATAGACACAATTAAAGAACAATAGGTCGCGGTCACCGGTAACCGCTTGGTGTTTGACAGTTTAACGTATAAATATTGAATGTAATTAAAGAAGATGACTTTGTAATTTGCGCTTCTGAGGGCTGAGAGGACTATAGCTTCCATTTGATTTATATGTCTAGTCATGAAAGCACTCCGGTAAAGAGTACTTTAAATTTGACTACACTACATTAAAATAAATCTACTTTTTTTAAGTCTGTAGTCGAAGTGGCGGTCTATTTTACAATACATAGTTATAAAAAACACAGACGAGTTCTTTTATGGTCTAATTTTCATTCGACCACAATTTCCCCTTTTAAATTACCTCATCAAGCTTTGCCATTGAATTTTACCATAGGGAACATCAGACCTTCGTTTCATAACCGACCATTACTATGATCTTTAGTTTACGTGACGTCTACCCACGTCACATCGACGGTACTAGCAAAAATATGTTATTTTTTAAAATGACATGTTAACATCTTACATTTTATAATGAATGGTTCAATTTATAAATGTCTATGTAACGACTCGAAATGTTGTTCTTGGCAGTGATCGTCTTGATGGCAGGTAAATTATGCGTGGTTGGTTTTATGGGAACCATTTCCGTAGTGGACAAAGTTAGAATTTATCAAGTTTACTCAAACTATCGAATTTCAACAAAAACGATATAGGTTTCCATAAAATATTAAATAATTAATATTAAATGATAATGCGAGAATGTTGTTCAACTTCATGGCTCTGATTCATTGATCTCTAGTTGATCTTATTAGGTTACGATGGGACTGACATACGCTGTGCGGTATAAAAGTCCCTAAAATTAAAAAGGAATAAAAAAAAAACTTTACTGTTTTGTTATTAAGGTTGCCAGTCGATTCAAGTTTTTGGGAAGAATCTACTGCAGTGTGAAATAAGTGATTTTGTTCCTTACTGTTCTTATGTGTGAGTAAATTATTAGTTTAGTTTACAGTCAGTAAAATGATTTTTGTGCTAAGTAATTTTTAACGAAGAATTTAAGAAGTAGTTTATCACTACTTTTCGCTATAATTATAATTAGAGCTTCATGCTGGAGTCAAGCTTTAATGCCTTCTTCATACTCAATATTTCAGAACATAACACATCTGTTAACTAAAATTAAATCTCAATAACTCTTTCACCTTTGTTTACTGGCCGGTTGCTGCAATGGCTGGGCAACTTGCTACCCCACAACGTGTCGCGGGATCGGTTCCCGCATAGAACAACTCTTTGTGTAATCCGCAGATTGTTGTTCCGGGTCGGAGTGTGATGTGTATGTGAACTTGTATGTTTGTAAACGCACCCACGACACAGGAGACAATGCTAGTGTGGAGCAACGTTTAAAAAAAAATTAGACCCCAAAACCATTCAACAATCAATAAACTATATAGTCTGTGGTATTTTTGTGTAATATACTCTTTTAATTTTAGAACTGTCTGATGTTTTAGTCACTCGTATTTTTCCAGACAAATATTTTCACAGGTACTTGTGCAAATAAATTGTAACTGTTTTTATTTATTACCGACTACATTCCTTTCAGTGTTTTTATAGTCACATTTGATTTTTTGTAAAGAGTCTCGAATTAGATACGTTAATAAATTGTTATTTGTGTTTTGAATAAGATTTATACTTGAGAGGAATTTCACCTCTGGATTCCTACTTATTTTTAATTATAATACATTCTTTCTTTTCTCTGTTACGTTCAGGGGAGAGCGCTACTTCATGGTCTCCGTTAAATCCTCCTCCTCTATCCTCCAGAGCTGCAGACAACCTACCGGGCTACCGGGGCACCTCCAGCTTAAAGCAGGAAGAAGGAACGGGGTGGTTTTAAGTCAGTTAGAGTCTGACACTCCCTCACGCCTCACCCGGGCGAGAGAAGTCGTTGGATTTTCCCCCCTCAAAAAAGCTTTATGGCTAGAAAGAATTGGGGTCTTGTGTGATAACAAATGTTTCTATTCTGACGTCATAATATTACGCCTTTTATCATCGAAGGGGTAGGCAGAGGTGCACATTATGCCGCTGTACAATGTAACACCCACTTTTCACTATTTATGTTATGAGTCCTATGTAATAGGGGGTGAGTGTATTGCCAAATACCGGGCACAATTCCAGACTCCATGCTACTACTGAGAATGTTATATAATACAATATCATGGTTATCAGCAGTTCAGCTATGATTTTATGGTCCCGAAAGCATATGAACTATCTATATGATCACCCTCTCATATCATGTGTACACGCACGATAATAAAGTCAAGTTCTTAAGGACATTGGTACTGAGGGGTCCTTCAAAAATGATATAATATATTATTTATGTTACAGTAGGGAAAATAAAGTGGTGTTTGTGGTTTTGGTTGAAAGTTCTTGGCCTAGTTTGAATCAAAAAGTTTTAACGTAAAGGGTTACTTATTTTAATATGAAATGTTAATTATGTTGGTACGGTATCTTGTCTTTAATGTTGTGTACTATGTTATTCTAACATAACATAACATCACGCCTTTTATTCCCCAAGGGGTAGGCAGAGGTGCACACAGAAGTAACACCCACTTTTCACTATTTATGTTATGAGTCCCATGTAATAGGGGGTGAGCCTATTGCCATATACCGGGCACTATTCCAGACTCCGTGCTACTACTGGGATTTTTGAAAAACCCAGTAGTACTTTGCCCGACCCGGGAATCGAACCTGAGACCCCTTGCCCGGCAGTCGCATTTGCGACCACTCGGCCACTGAGGCAGTCTATACTATGTTAAAGTCAAAGTCAAAGTCAAAGCATTTATTTCAATTAAACCATAGTTTGGTGCTTTTGAAACGTCAACAAATACAAAATAAATAATAGTCTGTCAGTCAGTCCGTCAGTGAAACTAGGTGAAGCTAGGTGCTCATTCCAAAAAGTAGATTCGAATGGAGAAGAACGAGCAAGAAACTCCATTCGTTACTCTTTTTAAAAAAGTCTGTTCTACAATGTCTCTGATACATATTTCAATACTGTACGCATATGTAAGAACAATGCAAAGACACGCTTGACGCATTATACTAATAACTTACAAAAATTAAAAAAAAAATAAATTAATAAAAATTAACTTAAAGTCCAACATGGTGCTCACATATGCATACTGACAATCCATAGAATTAGTGCTTCTATACAAGAAAAGGAAACTCTTTGTTTCAATAAAGAAATGCTCGATGCCATAAGGAAACTAGATTGTCTACATTAGAATTAAAGTGTTAAATTATGTATTAAAATACCTACTATTGGAATTTAGCTACTGACCACATTTGAGTATTGTCCAGTGGAGCCGAACCAACATGCTGCCAAGCATTCTTATCTTCAAGATAATCTGTCAGTGTGTAGTAGGCTTGATTACATAATTCGCGCTTAATATATGTTTTAAATTTACTTTCACTGAGATCTAGTATGTTATTTGGTATTTTATTATAGCATTTAATACCTAACCCCATAAAGGATTTCTGTACTTTGGACAGTCTGAATTGCGGTATAGCTAACTTATTTTTGCCTCTAGTATTAAAATTGTGTCTATCGCTTCTTTTTTCAAACAATTGCCTATTTTTCCTTACATACATTATATTTTCATATATATATTGACAGGGCACCGTTAAAATATTTATCGTTTTAAACAATTCTCTCAGCGATTCGCAACGGCGTAAGTTATATATTGCTCGGATAGCCCGCTTTTGTAGAATAAATATTGATTCTATTTCTGCAGCTCGACCCCACAACAAAATGCCGTACGACATAATGCTGTGGAAATAACTAAAATAGACAAGCCTAGCTGTATCTACGTCCGTGAGCTGTCTAATCTGTCTAACTGCAAAAGCAGCTGAGCTCAATCTCCCCGAAAGCGCCTTTATATGCGGACCCCATTGTAGCCTATTGTCTAACGTAATGCCTAAAAATACTGTCTCGTCGACAAATTCTAACTTTTGACCGTTCAAAACAATATCACTATCGTTACTACTACGCACGTTTGGTAAACTGAATTTAATACATTTTGTTTTTTTCTCATTAAGTGCTAGATTATTAATGGTGAACCAATTATGCACTTGAAGAATGGAGCTGTTTACGTCGTCAAGATTATTTGTACGTCGATCTATTTTAAAAATTAATGATGTATCATCTGCAAAAAGCACCATTCGTGGTTCATTTTTAAATATAAATGGCAAATCATTTATATAGACTAAAAAGAGAAAGGGACCCAGTATTGAACCTTGAGGAACGCCCATATTCATCCCAGAGCCCTGTGAGTTAATACCGTTAACATGAAATGTGTGTTATTGTATGTTCTTATAATTCATGTGACTGTTGACCATAAACTTAAACCTCAGGTTGTAAAAAAAATACAGAATATAACAACCAGATTGTAATTTAACCCATTAAGCGGAAGGTTGGTCTTGGTCTTCAACATTTATCTACTGACAGTCAAAGAAGTAATAGATATATACGAAAGATGATTGTCCCAGGAAGATCAATTTTCTAAGACCCGAGTAAGAAAGAATAACCATCACATCATAAAAATCCTTACTAATATTATAAATCGGAAAGTAAGTTTGTTTGTTTGTTTGTTTGTTCCACTTTCACGCGTAACTACTAAACCGATTGCTTAGAATTTTGCAGACGTTAGAAGTTAGAAGTCTGGATTAAATAATAGGGTACTTTTTATCTCGGAAAAATTGATATTCTCGAGGGAAAACGAAATTATTGGTATAGATGGCGCTGTGTGTATTGGTATATGTCACATAGGCTACTTTTTATCCTTTTGTGACGCGAGCGAAGCAAAGTCAAAGTCAAAATCATTTATTTCAATTAGACCAGGATGGCACTTTTGAACGTCAAACAACAAAAATTTATAAGTGAAGCTAGTTGCTCATTCCAAAGTGTAGATTCCTATGGA